TAATGATTAAGAAAAAGTCAAACAACATTCATAAACAATGAACATCAACTGAAAAGTCATCATCCGACTTTCTGTATGTGTATGAGTTCCACTTCACCTATTACAATTCATGTCAGTACGCAAATAGTGCACTAAATTTATTGGAAGTTATCTAATTTTGACTAAATAATACCAAAATTTACGCCACGGTCTATATAAGGTTAGTGAACTAGTTGACGCTATTTTCAAACACCAGATTAGCTTAGCTTCACATGGCTGTCAAGTGGCAGGAATGACCTTGGTGCACTACTACCATGGTTGCCTGTTTTATTTTTTGCTTCGGCTGTTTCAACGAGACAAATTCTGGCATCGAGAAGATTGTTAGTTGTATACATAACATTTGAGAAATAATTTTGAAGACATTGATAGGATCGATAAAACATACCCGTAAGTACAAAGAGCCACTATTGGGAAACGAAAGAATACACATTCCGGATTCATGTAATTGTTTGTAAATTGATTTAAGACGGAGTAATTTTACGCACTTTTCTACACCTTCATGATGTCCTAATGAGCGAGACAGAAATCCACATTGTTCTTCTAAAGCATAAAAATATCTATTAATCTTTAGTGTTAATGCCTCGTAAGCTGCTTGGACGTTAGGTCTCAAACCGCCGGCTGAATAATCGTCCCAGAACTGCCAGTGTGATATATCATCCCGATTAGCAGTTGCTTTTGGCTTAATGACAAGACATATATTGAACTGCAATGTATTTCTCTTATACTGGACACCTTCGATGCGTTGCAGGCAGCCGATCACATAGTGTTTAAAAGCCTCTATTGTTACTAACCGGAAAGCTAATTCAGCTCGCGGGATAACAGCGTTGCCAATCTCCTTAAATTGGGTCTGTAAAAAACAAATGAGAAAACGGTAGTGTGTTATAAGTCATCCACTGTAAACAATAGTAAGATTATTGACTGCAAGAAGCTAACCATCTAACATGGTAATAAGAGGTACGTCTAACGAATGAGATAGGCACAGAGGTGAATAAAACACTGAAACAACTTAAAGTTCAAACTAAAAGTGATCTTAATTGTGAAAGGCTTTTATTCACATATGGCTTTGACACAGGTGTGAGTTTCATTTGCAAAGCGTTAATTAGATGATAATGAAACAAGATACCAGTATGCTAAGTCGTAAATCAGTTTGCTATTTATTGAAATTGCAATGAATCTTAAGCATCATTTTTGTAAAATAGAGATACATTGATTTAGAGATAACAACAAAGTGCTATTGATGTTTGCTCAGGAAGTCCAATAAGTGAAGTTGTCTAAATACGAAATACATCGCTCCATGGTTACTCCATGTTGTAAATAAATGGAAAAGACCATAAAGGGATAAATTCTGTTGCTTAGGCTACCAAAACGTTTGCCGTCTACTATCGTATTTATTTTCACATTACACAATATAACCATTCAACTCCACACTTTTGATTTGTCTTGGATGCTGGGGTTAGGAATCTTTAATAATCTTTCAGACCTCTCCATAGGATTGTCCATACTTAGTTTCAATATACTGTAACTAATGTTGATGTCAAGCAGCTTATACTCACGTATAGTGGATATTACAAGTCAAAGAGAATTAAAGTCTTTAACTACTGGCTATAGCGGCGTAGCTACGTTCTACAGACGACGATCAAGTGGCCTTTTTACCTAGTGATCTTCACTGACAATGAAACTAGACGGAAGAAAAACTGTGAACAAACTATAACATAGAGCCGTGGAACCACGGATAGCCCAATTAGACTTCTACGGGTGGTGTACCAAAGGTTATACAGCTCAGTCAGTCAACTACAACGTAGAACCAGGCACATGTGTGCATCGGTCCAGGTTGCCATACCGCATCAGCACAACAAGATGAACACCGTTGTTGCTACCTTGACGTGGTGGTCGGGCTTGCCTATCGTGATGAAGCAACCGAGCTATACTGGCTGGAACAACCGTTCCTCAAGGTCCTACCATGTCAGACAGGTCGGTTGAAGAACGGTAAGACTAAAAGCAACAAACCCAAGGTCCGAAGGCGAAGTCGTACTGCTGACTGTACAGAGGTGTGACAGCAGTAAGGTGTTTCCTTCAGACAACCAGCATGACAGCGATGCTGCCTTCCCACAAGGAGGGGTGGGGTTAGAAAAGGTCGACCCTAAAAATGTGCACCTCACCTTACCTCACGGATTTCCGTCTCCGGCGGTAAGGTCCTTTGAAGAACGGAGCTAACACGTCAAAAACCTCCCACGAAAAGGCCGTGCGCGACCGGCCTCAAGCAGTTGTCCCTTGGGCACTGCGGTCACGCTCTCAGGTCACTGAGACCGCCTCTAATCCAATTTCCTTTTCAGGTACCTCCAGAAGAACCCTTCCTCGGTGTGGGCAACCGGGAAGTGATAACCGCCCTCATACCTCTAACAGCACCCAAGACCAGATACAGCTCAGTGGTATAAGACGTAACCAGACATCTCAAAATAGGGACCAGTAGTGATATTGATGTAATCTTTTACTACATTCTCCATAAAAAGCAAGATATATGTCTATCAAGAAATAATGGTTGTTTTATTTTAACTATATTCTTCAAAATATAGTTGTTATTTATTTGACGATTTCTTTCTTCTATAATACGGTATTTTGACGATATGTGCGCCATTTGTTGGCATCTTATTATACGCAGCTTCTTGAATTACAAATAAAAAAACATATTGGGTATAACTTTTTCGAAGTATGATGCAAAGATTGACATTTTGTTTCGAAGTTAAAAAGTGATGTAAAAACAAGCTACTTAGTGAAACATAGCCAGCGAAGTTGATTTCTCCACTAAACTGATTAGTTTAGATGACAAGCCATTAAAGCTTGGATCAAAATCTACAAACTTTTAAGAACTGGACATAAATTTTAAAATACTGGATAATGTATATAACTAAAGGGAAACATACCGGGGATACATAGTTGTGTGGATACTGATAGGCGATTACAGTCCCCTGGACATTTTCAAAGGTAGCACAAAGGATTGCGGCTAGTTCCGTGGTTCGAACTCCGGCCTGTAAACAAGATCTAAAATGTTAGTTTGTTTATATATGTCACTATTTTGATAATAATTTCGTTGACTTTCAAATGAAAACTTTTGTGGTTGACTTAAGTGTACAACCATAAACTCAAGTTAATGTGATGACCAAAAAGTCGAAATTATTTCACACAATATATCTAAATTGTTATATTTCGGTGAATTTACATATTATTAGTGGAAATTTGCTGTACTCAACATTCAATAGCTTTTCAAGTACATCTAGTTACTTTTATAATTATTAACAGGACAACAGATACATTCGAGGGATGAAACTTAGTCATCTACTTTATAAATATAAGTTTTATTTCAAAATGTAATTAAACCAACCTACTGACCCACGTACTATTTAAAATCAATACAAATTCAGGTTAAAGACTACAAACAAGCACAATCCATTCTTAAACCGTTGGATCAATTTCAGAAACATTTTACAGAAATAGCACGTATACTGTAGAATGTAGATGAGAACTTGGTAGATAAGAAGTGACATGAGCTGATAAACGTTTAGAAAATTAAAGAAAAGATGTACGAAGATAGAAATAAGCTGATGTAAAGGGATAAATCATATTTTTTGAATAAAAATGAAATGCATGGTGTGCGAAAAATTTTGGGAGCTAATACTAAGACTGGGAACAAGCAGTCATCACACAACCCTTCTAGCTTTGCGATGACGCGACTTTAATTCACTTTCCATCCCACTTTATTATATTGAGAAGTATTACTTGTACTCACATTACTAACAGACCACAAAGTGTCATGTTTACTAGCGATGTCGGTTTATGAGACGAAAATATTCAAACGAACTACTACGTCAGTCAGGTACAACGTAGCACCAGGCACACATATGCATCGGTCCAAGTTGCCACAACTCATTAGCACAACAAGTACATGGAACATTCAACTAGAAGTGTCAAATTTTTTGGGAACTTTAAGAATTACTGGCAAAAGCTCCACAAAAAGCCCAGTGATATTTCATCGGGATTGAGGAGACAGTATAGAAAGACGAACCAACGAACAAAATGGAGCAGATATCATAATTTCACACTATCAGTGTAGTAACTTGAGACACCACAGGCTTAGAGACAGATTGAGAATCTATGGAAACGTATGAAAACATTATCGCTTATTTCGAACCTTAAATATAAGTAGGATGAAAAGAAAATAGTCAATCATAGTTTATTATTTAGAAATTGGTCACTTAAAGCAAAAATATTACTTGACTGACTACTTGTCCAGAGTCAATTATTACTGTTTAAATTACTTGTATGCTGAAACTTATGTCATCAATATTTATTGGCAAAAGAAGACAATAAGTTCAGAAGTCTTGAAATCACTTGAATAACCAACAAACCTGTGATATTCCCTAAAAATGATTAAACGCACTCCAAACTTAGAACTGTAGTAGCTAGGGTGAAAGGATACAGCTTCTCTTGTTTGTTCTCATGTTCTTGAGTCTATTTTAAATGTATAGTTGAAAGGTATAGTAATTTAGACTGATATTACTTCGAACCATGATCTACACTAAAGCGTCTGTTCATGATTAGACTAATGTATTGTTTATTTATTGAAGATCGTTAATTATTGCTACAATAGACAACTAACATGTGATACTTTTGTAAATATTCCATCAAGTTACCCTGGTTTGCGAGCAATTAATAGAACAATGGATTTGATTGTTTGAAAGTTCCAAGGTTCAGTAATACAAAGAATATCCACCTCAGACAAAAGCAGGACATAAATAGATAGCGCGTAAATATCTCTAGTGTGCTTCTGATTAGGAGTAAGATAATGGATAAGACAACAAGACAGATTTTCCGAAACGTCTAAGAGCTGTATTACGAACAAATAACTTAAGAAATTGACAAGTAAAATTATTCATATAAGCAGAACAAATTTTATATGAAATAATTTATTCAATTTGAGCACAAATCAACTGAGTAATAAGTTCATCTGGCACACGAGCAACTTTTCGAGGGTATCGAGTAAGTGTGTGAGGACATAGCATCTCAGTCCATCCAACAGGAACAAGGGGAGAGCCACTTGTACTGCCAAGAAGTTCGAGAAAGCTGTTATCAGGAGACCTTCCAAGACCAAGGACCACGCCTAAATCAGGCTCAGCAGTAGATAGAAGACAAACAGAACTGGAGCCACTTATGTTTGCATCATTGGTGGCAGCCACTGAACAGGATATAGCCTGAGTAGTTAACAACGTGGATAACGTCTGTGGTGAAGTGCTAGACATAAAGGAACCAGCGTTGGTATATGCTCCAGGACCCAAGAGATTAATAACACGAGCTCGAACAATATCTCCTGGTCTAAAACAGCAGCCTGGTTCTGCTTGATCGCGTTGCGTAGCACGAATATCCTCACGTCTTATGAGACCTTTGAATGGTCCGGCAAGGCAAACTTCTCCAATCGCGACGATATCGCAGCGAACAAATCTTCGTGTAATACTAGAAACCTATGGTGAAAAGTCAAACTTCATTAAAGAGGTTGGGGGCTTTCAATGTTTTCAAAAAGAGCAAAACAAATAATTATCTATTTCATCGTTCTTTTGATCATGGATTTAAATTATTCAAAGAAGATAAACTAATTGTTGGTACTATGAATATGCAGAAAACTAAGGGATGGTAATAACCATTACGTAAACTGATATACAAGCTAACTAAGCATATGATGAGAGGGGAGAAGGATAAAGAATGTAGCATCAGCATACGAAACCATAGTGTTCGATGAAAACGTTTGTAATATATTTATGGTTCGTTAAATGTAATAGTGATTTGATGTAACTTAATAACAAGGTTCAGATTTAGTCCATTGGTTTTGAGACTGTGATTTAGTGGTAATAATCAATTGTATAGATTGAAGCACAGTGAGGCTTGAATCTGCAGTGGAAAGTTGAGCGGTTCGACCAATCCATTACTTCGGGGCAAAGAATGAAACTGGCAAGAGCCCGTAACTACACTAACTTGTGAATTGCTGGGAATAGTGAAGTTTTGTATATGTGAGTAGGTGTTAGTAAAAATCATACTATGGAAGGAGCTGACAGTATACCATCTATGAAAATAATTATACAAATCCCTATTTTTTATTTTTTCAGTGATCCATTATATGATACTGTAATGCCATTATTTCTCTTTTCAACCTGAACTCTCTAAAGTAGTCAATTAACGAGTGTCTAATTCGAAACCTATTTAAAAATAATTAGAAGCTTGATACGAATATCTACTTGCCACACTTCAGACTACGATATGCATCATTAGAGTCTTAATGTTTGGGGATATAAAACGATAAAGGGCAGATTCTAATTGAAGATATTTTGGTTTTTACCTTAAGAGAACAAGGACAATATGCGAACTTACACACCTAACTAGATGCAAAATTTCTGGAAACAGTATTTTAACCTTGAAATAAACATACAAAACTAATTAACTGACAGGGAAATAGATATGCAACTTGTACCACCACTTAGCTGATTGTATGGTTAGTATGCATTACAAACAAAAAAGTCGTTAAAGGCACGCTTTACTAACTTACTTTGGCCAACACAATTGACCCGGTGTAAGGAACTATGCCAGAAGTTTTCAACGGCACAACTGAAAATGTTTTCTAACATAAGCAACGAATTAATGGATAAGCATACTGATCCGTCCGTATGTGATTCCTCCTTGACATATCCAAATGCACTTGACAGTATATTCCCCGAGCAACAGTACGTCGACGGCCCACTTTTCTTATTGACGTCTAAAGGGGATATAAGGTCCCCAGGGACTACAATTCTACTGCTACACATTAGGTTTGATTTGTCATACGTCAAAGCCTGAGCTGAGTATGAATTTTGTCTACGAGTACGACAATCTAAAATATAAAAGGCGTGTGGATAATCACAACAAAACAAACTAGACGAAGTAGTTGGGAAACTCACCGTTACGTATACGTTTGAACGGGACTCTAAGACCGTCTAGAATCCAATATTACTAATTTAACTAACAATGACCTTTTAAACTTTTCAAGGTAAAATTTAATAATTATTATTTTCTTGGAATCTTTCCTTGAGGATTGTTTCGTCGATCCTTCAAGAGCCCACAAGGCGTAAAATATTGGTCATAAAGTGCTTCGGGAAACATTCCCTAAGTAGTCTGCTTCATCCCTATTAGAACAAGAGTAAATACCAAATCTCCATCGGAAAAAATAACAAGATCGCTCTTCACTATCACCTCCTTGTGTGAATTCCATGGTGTAACTAGTGATCACGTGGTATTTCCCTTTAATTTTATGCCTATTCTTCAGTGTTCTATTTAGTGATGTATCAGTCGTTGAAACTGAGACCGAAATGTAATAGCAAACTATTATGACAGAGAATTGTGAGTGTTATGGAACGTCTGATCCTTTTAAACGTTAAGGGGAGCGAGTTCGGTTCTTGGTGAGCTGGCCAACATTTTTACTTAGTAAAGGTACTTCTATTTTTCTTTGCATCCATTTATTTCAATCAAGCTTCCTTAAAAACTCAGAACATCTATGCTACCTTCGATTTCACCTTGAGTCTCAAGTTATTCCGCAAATAACTTCAAAAATTACTGACAAACGATTGGAGGAAAAGTGGTCCACAGCTTGATGTTGTGAATCGATACGATAGAACAGATTGGATTCCAGAAGCCTGTAGTCGTCCACAAGCTAGTCCTTCGGCATCGTAATCAAGCACCTAATAATACGGAGTGACTTCGTTTTCAGTCAAACAGCCATGTGATTGTTCATGTCAAATGCCTTGGAAGTATTTGTATCTTATACACTCACGACAATTATGCTCCATTGATAAAGTTCAATAATTTCAGTTTGTCGACAGGTCCGTTTAATGTAATCTATCTTGAAGTAATCTGTGTTGAAGGTTTAAAAAGGAAAAGGTTTTCATTTGAATAATATCTGACTTACCCTATGATTCTTGCCACAACTTTCCCAGTCTTAGAGAGTAAATGGGTCGAGTTCTGATTGAAAGCTTTAACCTTATTACCCCCTTTATTAATGGGTGTAACGGTATGGGCATGTTTGCTTCGGAGAAAACTATTTTCTTAACAAGCCATATGTGAGTCTTTTCTCATCCACAGACTTGATCAAATGAGTCTGGAATTTTATCTTGCCACCTTTTTAAGAGCTAATTTTTTCGTACTTAATAATATCTGGTGTTATTGGAAAAGCGTGTTGAATTCCTGAGTTTACAGTAGCTTCCAATAATTTTGGACGCGTTGAACTTGAGATGTTTCGAAAACTTCCATATTTTAACACAGGAGAATAAATACATCAGTAGACTACGGAGTCTTCTCACATAGGTACCATAATTTATCCTCGTCGATATGGTTGTCACGAATGGCTGATTACTTTCAACATGAACTCATCTACGTTGTCTTTTGGAAAATCTCCATCAAATAAGGTTGACAGGCATAATACAACCGCCTAACATATGTGACGTTGAAGCTACACAATCTGAAGGCACTATTTTGGTACCCTCTAATGAAGTGGCCATGATGTCTCACTTATTAAGCACTTGAGTTTGGTCACATCTAATGAGTGCGCTGTTATATTAACATAGTGAACCATAAAGTACATTTTAATCATCCGGGACTTTAAAATGTCATAGTAAGGAGCCGTTTTTATTGAGGTTTTAAATCCATGGCTTAAACTTTATGGGATTTCCTCTAACTATCGCAATCCCCATGTCGTTCTGTGATGAACTTGTAGATTACCAACCTAGGTGATCCGTGTCAATGATTGAGGATTTACTAGTGTCGATGGGATTAACGAGCAATCCAGTTTTCGTCTACGTCAGACCTCACGGCTGACACCGAAGTTGAATTACACCGTCGTATCCAGGTTTTATGACTACTATAATTATCGTACGACACAAATAACATTAATGCATAACTATGTTAGTCAGAATAGGCAGAAGAAACGGCGTATGACCAGCTGCATGCCCCATAAATTACCATGGTTTTTATTAGTATATATCAGCAACTGGTTCCTATCCCGTTTATTATCATCTCCGTCTCCCCCTTAATTCTTTCAATTCCGTTGCCTTAAACATTACCAAATAATTCCAATTATTACTTTACTATTTTCACATTGCGATCAACAAACCTCATGCCTGGTGTTGCGATAGTTGCTGGTAACCAGAGTGCCTACTACCCAGAGGAAAACTCACCCACTCGAAACACATGACATACAAATCCCTGTATAGCTACCGAACTGGCAAGAATTAGTGCAGTCAAGTGGGTAGACTGTAGAACCACGGTGTACTTTGTTATTAGTACTGCTCCAATAATAGACCTAATGATAAAATTGTAGATTTTACATAATGTAACTGCCTAATCTATAGTATCTTATGTGGAAGTCACATCATCTACACCCATCGTAACAATTACCAAAATATGGTGGAGTACACATTTAGACTGGAGATAACATATTTAATATGAATGAAAGAGATAAGTTGCACAAGAATGATCACGCTTGCGAGGCTGAGCCACGCCACCCGATCAAACTGAACTGACGCTCCCGCTTTTCTTGGTCTACCATCTCTTCGTTGTCAATTGTGGAATATAAGTCTTTTCAGTAATTGTATGTTTTTCTTCAAAGGTTATGTGGTTAGGGTCTAATGCCACCATTTATTGAACATTACCACGCACTTGTAACCGTACCGAAACAACAAGAAGCAAGTACAAATAAATCAGTCGATTAATAAAAGCTCGTGACAAAGATATTGTATATACTGGATGTCATATAATTTATTCTTAAGGACTAAGGGTAATGCTTTATTGTAATTTACTGGTATTTCTTTCCTGGTCAATATAAATAGGCAGCCACATGGAGCCAACGAAACCCCGCTGCTACTGGACCCGAAAGCCTATTAAACAAAGACTCCTTCATTACATGCGCGCTTTACGAACGGGAGGTCTCGTCCTAACATGACTAGTACTACTGAAACTTCTGTTACTTTTAGGCGACAAAAATATCATTTTCGTTCCAGAGAGTCTGTCTTGAGCTTAACGTTCGGCAGACCACTTTTATTTATGATTTTGAACCGAGTTAATTGTTAACTGTGGTTTTGGTTCAGCCTACTACTCGGTCATTATAGTTTTTCACGTCGAGGTTAGTTTTGGTATATCCTAATCTCCTATACCACCCGTTTGATCCGTTTTACCCGTTTTGAGCGTTCTGTTTTTTGTTTTACGGTTGTAAACGTTTGCTAGGATCTATCTAACAACTCACATTTCACCATAGTCATTGTTACGTCCAAGTTTTTGCTCGTTCCCGTCATTCAAGTACGGTATATCAATCTATATGCAATTTACGAACCCAAGTTAACGATAGAAACAAACTCCATTTCAGGTACCAAAGTTTATTCGCAATTTACAAATGGTCGACCCAAATGTCGCTCTCCAGTTTTGTAGGTTGCCTGTCCATTATCATAGGGCTAATTCAGGCAAATATGACGAAGAGGTTTATGCGCTTTAGGTGGAAGGCATTAACTGCCGACGTACGAACGCAGCGAGTTTATTAAACAAAACGGATGAGTTGCGTGAACTAAGTAACGCTAAAAATACTCATCTGAAATATAGACTTTTCAAATAACAGATAGCTTGCTAAAAATACCTGGCATTTCCTTTTTTACAACGACAGAAAAAGAGTAACAGGGGCAGAGTGGCCCTGTACCTACGATCTTGCTTGGGTAGCACATCAAGTGTACGCCCTAAAATTCATCAATCATAATGGATCTGTGTGATGTTCAATAAGATTATCGAACACCTTGAGGTCTCTCGTTGAAGGGATTATCTCCCTCCATTCGTCTCGGATACACTCATGTCCTGACTCTAGGAAACTTCAATCTTCCTAAAGTAAACTTTCTTCGAAAATACGTACATTGGAGACGGCAACTCTAATGAAGCTCGGTTTTTCAACTTCATTAGAGACCTGGGATTATTAGAAAACGTGAAGCTGGCAACTGGCTGGAGAAAACGTCAGATACTGTTATTCTTAGACTGTATTTTTACGAGTGGGAGAATTCCTAATTGACAACTTTTCAATCTTGGCTCCCTTGGGTAAAAGTGATCACGCCGTCATAGCTATCAATATTATTTGCAAAACTGAGCTAAGTCATCCTTACGTCAACAAGTATTGGAATTAAAAGCGGTTGGGTGAGTTAGCTTTACAGGTCAATCTACAGTAGGTGGATTGAGAAGCCTACCCTCAAATTGATGAGGACACTCATTGGGACTTGTTACTGCACATGATCTTATGTGCTACAAAACAGTTCTATAAACGGTCCCAAAAATCTACAAGCAACTTACAGTCATCAAGAGTTGGTTCGCTAAGATGCGAAAGGCTTTACTGAGAGGAATGCAGATGAACCAGCAACAACAACACATGTAGGCAATCCAAAAATCACGGAACCAATGAGAAAATGCAAAAGGAAAAGACAGGCTTCAGTATCAAATGAAGCTAATCGATAAATTTGTCTTCAATCCGAAAAGCTTATTTAGTTATGCAGCCTCTCTCCGAAGAGCCAAGACCTAAGTCCTCTAATTGCTAGGTCCTAATGGCCTAACCAACAATAACGGTGACGTCATCGACCTTCTGGCGGAACAGTACTTCCGGACAATTCGACCGGCTTACGCCAACTATATCGACGAGAGATCCACCTACAACTCAACAGGACTCTCAGGACTGAATCTGAGTACTGAATTGGTGTATCAGAAGGGTTAACTTCAATTATTGTTAGGACACACGATAGGCAAGTGGGGTCCACCAGGGTTCAGTACTACGACTTTCTCTGGCAGGTACGGTCTAATTTATTACCTTTTGCTGGCAATGTGAGACTCTGGAGAGACGTTTGCAGACATGGGGATATTTTGACACTTCAGGAGGATCTGACACGACTTCATAGTTAAGCAGACAACAACAGACTTTTCCGCAACACTTCAAAGTGTAACGTAGTCCATTCGAGGCACAATGTAACTAGGCAACTCCTCTCTTGAGGTATTTCAAGTCGAAATATATCTGGGAGTTTCGATTTCTCATGATCTGAAGTCTTACGCCAACTGCGGCAAAAATATCTTTCTGGAAAATCTTGAAATGACAATGTTAAAGTGCATTTCTGGCCAGTCTGATGGAAGAACTTTTCACCTGATCTCCAACGGTGTTGTCCGATCTCATTTATAGTGTGGAATCATAGTTTTTCTTCCCTCACTCTAAAAGGATAAGGACACACTGGAACGCATTTGATAACGAGCCACGAAATCGGTTCGATGATCCACATTCAAGTCTTATGAACAGCGCCTCCAATTACTGAATTTTTACCCATTAGAGTTCAGACGTCTTAGAGGTGACCTTCTAATGATGTATAGCACCCTGAACACTAATGAACATCCCCTTAAACACATACTTAATTTTAATCCTAACACAAACCTTAGGATTAGCACACAGAAACTACAGAAACAGTATAACAGGACGAACTAAAGGCACACCTTCTACTCCTTAAGAGTAGTTAAATATATGTACTCTCTGCCGATTGAGCTAGTCCAAGCCACTTCCAAAGAGTTCTTAAGGTGAAAACTTGATATATTCTTAAGGACTTAGTACAGTATCCCGCTATGATTTGCTAGTCTTTCCTTTCTCTTTTATCGTTAAGATTACCTTGGTTCTTACCTGGAGGCATCAGTGATTGATTGCTACCAGATAAGGTAGCCCGTTATGTGGGAGCTTCTTTTATTACATCCAGAACCATTTAAATCATTCTGTTCACGACCGTTCGAACCGTTTTGAAAATAAAGGTCAAGTGTACATATTGATCGTCTTACGTAAGTTTTAGCTGAAATACAACTCATCTTGTTGGGTTTAGAGCATACTAAAAGGTTAATGCGTGCTATCTTAAATCATTTGATTTTATTTCCTATGACAAGACTGGCTAGCAAACATTGCGGGCTTTTGGCGCACTATGGTGAGCGAGATTCGTATATCTGTAGAACGGATTGACATAGATTAGTATCTCTAAGAGGTTAATGATAGATAGTCTTAATGGACAAAAGATTGTGATCTATGTTCCTAGTTAACTTTCTGGAAAAAAACATGGAGTGTCGCAACTCAAGTTGATTGACATCCATTATAGTTGCTTAACGCAACGTATTAAAATATTTTTGGTAATAGAAGAGGTCCTTGTGCTCTTCAGAATTAAAATGCAGTGGAACTCTGTTCCACTTGGTTTACAACAACGAGCAAACGACGACTTTGCAACATATTTTTTATCATTAGAGATTAGTCCTTAACTAATACCTACAAAACGTATTTCTTGGAGTAAGTAGTTATTCAGAGGTCATTTAATGTGAGTCAGTGGTATAGTAATTTTTTCATTAAGAATGCCGTTGCATAAATGATCCATTACTCACTAGAGCAATTAAACACCTTAGTAGTAAAGCTTTTTTTGCTCATTACTTAGGCTGTAACTCACCCTAACTACGATATTTTGTGTGTCTTGGTTATGTGTAATTTTTTGCGTTAATACCTGGGATGAACTGTGCGTGTTTCCATGAATAGCAGTTGTGATACGTAGAAATATTATACGAACTAGAAATCCCAGAAATAGTGCAATTTATACCAAGAAGAACTAGGTGAGTATGAACGGACGTGTTGTATTTGAAATTCGAAATCAGGAGGAGGATCAAATACGGAAAAATCATTAGTTTATACAAACACCAACCGCCACAGCTTAAATTAGAACCTAAGTTTCTTTAATCGATTGAACGTCTTCTCTGTAGTTGCAATGTATATTTGTTAGATTGTGTATTGGACACAGACTGCATGATCTAAAGTGCATAAATTTCATCACAAATATGTGAATCATTAGGACAAATGACATCTGATAAAATAACATGAGAAATGTGATAAGTTGATTGACTAGAATTTTTTGTCCCAGTGGTTCTGAGTTCCATTTAATTTTGGACTGGTTTGTGTTTATACAGTTTTTTGAATTCGTGGATCAAGATAAATGATCATTAGAAGCACTCAACTTAATAGGATCGGAAATAAAAAGTTTAGCATTACTTGCAGCGAAATGAACAGTAGTATTACAAACTACCTGAATGTATCCTATCTTAACATATTTAAAGTATTTAGCATTACGAAATACACATGAATGAAATTTGCAATAGGACAAAGAGTTCCCAAACTTGTGCTCATCTTCGTGACCTGATTCGTAACTCCTCAATGAATTTTTGTCTGAATACGTATCGGGTTGGGATGACTCAATAATGTAGTAGAATTCTTGATATCCTAACGAATCATTTTATGAAATTTCTCCTTTACCACATTCGGAATTTGTACACTTTATATGGTTTAGTATTAGAACCCCTTTGAGAGTTGCATATGGAAGTGAAATAGACTTTTCTGGAAATGCCAAAGTTTTTGTTTAACTTTAGGCTTCTCTCCCGATAAATGTAAGGAAAAATGCCACAATATTAACGTCCTCAAAATCTTCCTTGGTTACAGTCCAGATCTCGAACCTTTCCATATAGCCCTCAAAAGCATCCAAATTCGAATATATGTTCACCTGTTCCAGCACAGACCCCATATCGACACCAATGTGATGATTAGAAGTATTTGAATTATTACACGAACTAGGGATCCTCAAAATAGCACAATTTAGACCAAACACAACTAGTTGACCACAAATGAACGTGTTACATTTGGAATTCGAAATCAGACAGTCATCAAGTACAAAGGAGTCATTAGTTCATACAAACACCACATGGCCACGCGTATATAGCCTCTGCCAGGGAAGTCCTACTCACTGCCTTCTCGTTTCGGGGTGTTGTTTACGAAAATAAGAGGACGAAAAGCGAATGTCCGGCGCTTTAACCGGATTCCAAACCAATGGTGCATATGGGCTCCAGTATCCTGCGGGAACAAATAGGGTATAAATCAATTGTTGGTCACCGGCTTCCATGGGACTGCATCTCCTCACGATGCTCCACTGTCTTGTGGATCAGATATTCAGGTCGAAGGCTCGGGGAGTGGCCCCCTAAGAAAACCACCTGCTTCGGTTTGGGCACCCGAGCAGTATCACAGCCCTCACACAAATCGAATGATGAAGTGTGGCGCATATGTATTTGGTTCCTCCTTGTACCAATGTTTATGTGTTAAAATAAATAAACAAACACCACAACAATGTAATTTATTCAGTACAATTTTCTGTAGTCATTCTTAAGCTACACAACAGTGACACACCACAGCCTAATGACACTACTCAGCGGCTCAGAAAAAATTATTTGAGCTAAGTTCCTACTTTAATGGATAAAAATAGAGTACTTTAACCACCTGACCACTGTCCATTGAACGCTGACTGTTAAAGAATTAGGTTCAGATGAATCTTGGGGCACCCGAACATGTGTTATTAGTCCACATAATCGTCGACTGTCAGTCCAAGGGTTGTAAAGAGGTCCCAACTCTGATCAGGGTACTCTCAATAATCGGGATCAGTGGTTTCAAACCTCACGTTGCACACCCCAAAATGGGAAGGAATGGATCAATGCGTTCGTTGTTTATCCCATAGATCACAAGTTTTAATATTATGTCATGCTTTTAATTCCTTTTCTGGTTTGTCTTTTCTCACTGAGCATCAGCATGGGACTCAGTACGAATGATTCTCGGTCCACGTTCCCATACTTCACAGTATGAATGGTAAGAAGTTAACAAAATAAGAAGAAATGGAGAGGGACTTATTCCATTTCTGATATGAATCTAAATATAAGAGAAAGGGTTTAGAAAGAGCAGTGTTTAGTCACTTTCCTTATCATATACTCTACCATTAGTTCGACCCATCTCTTATGAATATGATTAGTGTTATCTCGTACATCTGTTCCAGGCTTTGCGTTAATGAATGAGATGATATGTGACAACTTATACGGATGCATATTTTCTTTGACTTACGTTGTTTATGACTGATTATGTGTATTGCTGTCTTATTTTCTGTGTACGTACTTATTAGCAAGTTCGCTACTCATGTAAATTTCAAAACTATGCTTGTGTTCTTCAACAGAGCGATTTTCCGGTAGTATATGACTGATTATTCGAATGTGCTTAGTTTTCCTATTCATCTTATAGTATAATTACGTATTTATACTTAAGTCATACATTTTTACATTTTAGTTCCTAGAATGGTAGAAACTCGGAATCATTCTTCTTATTCTGATCCAAGCGTTTATACGACGGATAAATTGGAAATTGATTGGAAAATAAATTTTAATGCACAAACTATCAGTGGTTCAGTCAATATCTTCTTGAAAAAAGTTTGCCCAGACAGCCTTAATCCAAACATTGTATGTCTCTTCTAAATTATTTATGAATAATATCTATTTGTCAAAAATTCTAGAACGTTTACTTAAGGCAAACAGACTCACCATTTTTTGATTGACTTGCAGACTTACGCCAAGAAAAACAAGTTAGATTAGCTATCTATTTATGATTCGAAGCGATTTCCCCTGAGTTATCTTTAAATTCTGTTTTCTAGCCATAATATTCACCGAGTATTGGGTATTTCTTCCAGCATACTTAATAACCCTATGCTTTGTGATTTAGTGTCTTTTCTGTTATATATTTACGCCTAATTTCATAAAATTACTATCATTTCGCCGGTGTTGCTGGCACTTCTCAGCGACAATGTAATTTGTACTGATAGACATTGTTGTGCATGTATCTGTTACAGACATTCGTCTGTTGACTGTCCCACAAGATCAAAGCAATTCTGGCACTATTTATCAATACGTTGCTGTCACTATGTGTGTTAAGCCTTGTTCACTGATTGTAAAAAGAGCTTAAAATCAAAGATTGTAAATTTGTGATATAAAGTGGAAGATGATTATAATTGGCTGAAATTAAAAAAGCATATTGATCCGTTTGCTTACAAATACAAAAGAAATACCTTAGATGCTGCTGTGCCGCATCATAATATAGCATTTAGTTTGAAAGAAGGTGGGAAGTATGTTCGATGCTCATTTCTACACTATACTTCTACCTTTAACTCTGTTCCAAGACCACTATTAGTAGGCAAATTTTTCAGCGTTAACAAATAGCAGCTGATTATTTATTTTATTTATTTGAACACATAAGCATTGATACAAGGGGGCACCAGATATATATGCGCCACAGCTGAATAACCAATTAACTATGTTCTTACTTTGAAAGAGAATAGTATGTTGTGCCTGATGGAAAGTGTGTTCTGCCATGAGGTACTGTTCTTTCTCTTCTTTTCCTTTCTCATTTTTTCTTCACTATTCTTCATATACAACAGGCACTTATTAAGTATGCAAAATGGTCTCACTGTGTGTATACCAGTTTCTTCTTCAAAATCCTTTAGTATGAATCGGTTCTTGTTGCTCGTTGAACGATAGTCTGAAAACAATGTCACAGGTCATTTAACTTAGTGAAAGTTTTTCCTCTGATCTCTCCTGTTCTCTAGTTTTAATAATACAGCAGAAAATTGTCCGTCTGGCTTATTGTGTAAAGAGGCTACATGCTTTCTATATTACTTAATATTTACTTTTACGATATGTAAATTCTTGTATGTTTCCTATTATAATTCATTGTCTCCCACTATTTCCTGGGCTTTTAAGAAAATATTCTGCTGTGTTGCATTGAGTGCTGAAGACAGTGAATCCTTTAATATTATTGCTAATATGGTTGTGGATAGAAATCTGAAGTCTTGGAAACGACTGCCAAGTATTATTCCATCAGATGCTAACCACACACTCCATTTACATCTTCATCCTTGTATATTTTTTGATAGGAAGAGATGCAGATACATTAGGATCCACTCATGCAGACAAAGTACAAAAGCTTTAAAAGACCGTACCTAACACATACTATACGACGAACAGGTCTGGCGCTTTAACCGGGTTGGTGGATATGGAGGGTTCACCTGGGGCATTTGGAAAACCCTAATTTCAAACCAATAGTGCATATGGGCTCCAGGATCCTGAGGGAACAAATGGCGTATAAACCTATTGTTGGTCACGGGCTACTATGGGACTGTATCTCCTAACATTAATCCACTGCCTTGTGGATTAAACATCTAGGTCAAAGGCTCGGGAAGTGGCCCCCTAAGAAAACTACCTGCTTCGGTCTGGGCACCCGGACAGTATCCAAGCCTTCACACAAATCGAATGATGAAGTGTGGCACATATGTATTCGATTCCTCCTTGTACCAATATTTACGTGTTTAAATAAAAAAATAAGAACAGGTTGTAAGAGTTAACCTGATGAAAAGCTTATATTCATGAACATATTGCTAACTCACGTTTGAATAGGTTCTTATTTTATTAGAAATATTTCACTTAATTCTAAATTTCTTATCTCGCGTGTATATGTATGTACTTATTTTTTTCGTGAAATTTGTTGAAATATCGTGTGATGAGAATTTTATATAGTACTAAACAAATACTATTGAATAAGACCATGGTTATTATTATTATTATTATTAACGACTGAGGTGGATTCTGGCAAATAATGACTCAAGATTTTGTTAAATGACTTGAAGTAGTAACGATCGGGGATTCGATACTCGTGATAAAATGAAGATTGAAAATGAAAATTTACTAAGCCTTTCTTGCACGTTTGTGTATTGTTTTCTTTCTTATCATTACGTGCATTATTATTTGTCAGCCTTATACTGCTTCTATGTTGTTTTGTGAAATACATTCTTCAATGTCATGGTTTTATCTCGAATAACAACAAAATAGCACATTAATTTTCTTTGATGAATTTAAATCCCTTAAAATGTGTTATGTAATTATTGAGTTGAGTTTTCGTGTTTTGAAATTTCAGCTTCTTGATACAAGGAACCTAAAGATTCATTCAGTGCACGTAAATTCGGAACCAGTGAAATGGCATTTAAAACCCATTACTGTCCAAGCTTTTGGGTCTTGTTTAGAAATAATACCAAATACAGCCTCAAATAGGTAAAAATAAATTCGAAGTGGATCTAGAAGTGGTAGTCTGTAGCTTATTTTCTTGTCTGTTATAAATTTTTCGTTAGTTGATATTTTGGCATAGAATTCGCGCCAGAAAAGAAATTAACTAAACTGCTATTTATAGATGCACCAATAATTAAATTCAGTAAGAGAAACATAGTGCTTCAAGTGTTTGGGAACCCACTTGTCCGTAGTTTCAATCGCAACGAACCCGTAACTCTTGAACTTAGTTGTATGCAAACCAACCGTATCTGAAATAGCGAAGCCATATTGTCAGCCCATCTACCGTACAAAGAAGCAAAAAAAATTACTAAACGACCTTTCTTTTAAAAAATGGATACTCACGCAATTTCACTGAAACACCCATCATACTCATCACAAGTACAAAACCAACCGTGGTAACCAAAATACTGGTTATTCCACCATAACCGAAAAACATAAGAGATTAAAATGGGACTATTGTTGCTTGTAGAAATAAGTGTGACTTACCAGCTAGGAAAATTTACCTTCTGTACCATTCATAAAGCTGGTAGCTTAGTGTAAAAGCTTCTACGTAATCTGTAAGTTGTATTGTTTTTGTAAATAGCTTAAATCTTGTTTGAAGTGCTATTATTTCTCATGTATGAGTGAGTCTTGGATGTGACTCAATTTATTCCATTTCTCATAGGTACGATGTCAAAATCGACTACGAAACTTCTCCAGATTCTTCTGCTCTCCAGTGGCTAGGACCACAGCTTACTGCTGATCGACGTCAACCGTTCATGTTCAGTCAATGTCAAGCTATTCATGCTCGTAGTCTTCTACCTTGTCAGGATACTCCAACTTCAAAGTTTCCTTTCGAAGCTAAGGTAAAGTAGATGGCACATCCTTAACTAAGTTTTGGTGTCATAATTTTCAGTTTTCGATAAAGCTATGAATTCAAAATTAGCTCTCAACCTCAACTTGCCACGGTTTACGAGATAGATCATTACTACATTAGTTGATCTGTACATCGTTTTCGTGTACAACTTACGCTTTTATCTTTAAATGACTTGTAATTTTCAAGTACTATTTCCGTATTCTACTACTGAATTCGAAAGTCTTAGCGTTTTGTTGTTAATTTTGTAGTCTTTTTAGGATCTCCTTTAGTTTTATATGCCTTAAAAACGTTCAGTGTGAGTTGTAGTACTTTTACTTGGTGGTGTTGTTGAGTTGAACTTATTTTAGAGTGAGTGCTTCATTTTAATATCAGATAACCTTTCCTGCAACGTCACTTAAAATAGCTTATTTAAAAGCGACAAAAATGGTTCAGCTTAATATTGAGTATAGAATAGCTAGTGAAATATATTCTTAAGTGACGATATATACATCGGATGAAGAACGCTTCCGAAAGTGTAACAAACTTGTGTAAAAATCACCAATTATATGACTTTTTTTGCAACAGGGAAGATCATATAACATATTTACGCAATATATACTAATTTGTTTATTTATCAATCATAATTTATACATCATTTCATTTTTGATATGTAGGATTCTAAAACGTCTAGGTGTTTTGATCGTATTTCCAGTTATCTTATTTTAATTCCTACTTTTACTTGTGAATTGGTTTCCAAAATATTTACACCTAAAACTACCCATTCACTTATATAATGAATTTTATAGTTACAGCCGTATTTTAAATATTAAAAATTTGCAGGTTGTAACTACTGTCCATTACTTGAATACAAGTATTCATGAATAAATGGTGTTATTTTGTGTTAATGCTGGTTAAATTTTGTGACTTGAACCGAAAAATTAGTGCTAGATGTGTCGGATATATTTCTTCAGAACATATCAAGATTTATTTCTGAATCATCTAAGCTTTAAAAATACGATAGTAAACTATAAAAATCTTTTCTCTTAGAAGTTTTCAACGTGGTAATTATTCTGATTTAAAAAGTCCAGATACCACGGGCCATTTCCTATTCCATATACTGTAGTTTGGCGTAATAGTACAGAGAATAAATTTCAAAGTCTGGTAAATGAGCTCAAACTTGGTTATTAAGTTCTATTATTTAAACAAGTAAAACGAGTTTGTTTAACATGAAGTTTAAAAGTGTCGCATTCCTCTAGGTCTGTTGAAGTTGATTTTGCGAGGTACAGTTACATCATTTTTCTCATAATGATATTGCTGTATCAGGATTCAGTTGCACACAAATAGACACTTAATTAACGAGTATTTTTTTACTGAAATATGTCTTATCATTGATAAAAGGTAACTGCTCCAAAGGAAACCGTTGTCATCATGGGTGCCAAACGAATTGCAGATCCGTTTTTGACCGACGATAACCACCTTACTTACCACTTCAAACAGAGTGTTCCGATCCCCAGCTATCTGATCGCTATTGCTTGTGGGGATCTAGCTAGCAGGTAAGCTCGCGGCATCATAACATGGAAGCCTGTGTGTATTGCATCATTTCATTCTTGGTTATATGAAGCGACGTATTTAAGAATTACTATGAATGTACTGCTGTTGCAATTCTAACATTTTCTTGTGTATCTTTATCATCATTTAGTTGTAAGAGTAATTAAATCAGTTTAGTTCACCTTTATACATGTTATTTCAATATTATATCACGAAAACTGTCTGCGTAAATCTAGTTAGACCGAACACAGATTAGTTTTATGCTATCATTTCATTCAAACAAGTTTTAATGGTTCTCGAAATACTGTTTAGTCTGTAGATAGCATGTGTACAGATAGTTTCTGTATATTACCAATAACCTTAGTTTGGATTATCTTATAGTAATTTACGGTACTTTATTTTTAGTTTTATCCCTTAAAGAGAGTTAATTCTTGTAATATTTCTAAATTGTGTTTTGTAGAAAAATTGGTCCACGTTCGTCTGTATGGGCTGAACCCAGTATAGTTGATGAAGCAGCTTATGAATTCAGTGAAACAGAACAAATGATTTTAGCAGCTGAAAATATCTGTGGACCTTATGTGTGGGATATATATGATATCTTGGTGCTACCACCAACATTCCCCTATGGTGGAATGGAAAATCCATGTTTAACATTTGTTTCACCAACTTTATTGGTGTGTTCTGCTGTTGGATATAAATTTTATGTTGATTCATACTACAAGCTGGTTTTTTTAACATTACATTTTAGAAATTTGTCATTTCGACAAACTAACTCTCCAGTCGTATTTTGACCAGTTATGATTTATTATAGAAATATATAATGCATACATGGTCGTTATTAAATAGTGGATAGTAAGAATAACATTTTCTATCCAATCGTCAGATTTCCTTTAAAAACGATTTGGGTAATCACTTGTGAAGTCAAAAAAGACGTGAAAAAATATAAGCATATAAATATTCATGTTTCAAACAAACTTTCTTAATTTAAGTACACAAACTCTACTGGCTCTATTCTATCTTTCTGATACCACGTAAAATCTGAAATAAAACCGTTTTTCCCTAATTATAACAGTCAATATAAGAAACACTAAACCCGTCACATTAGTCAGGATGTCACATCTACCAAAGTTGACTAAAATAGGCAACCATCAAAATAATTTAAATGATATAAATAGACTACCAACCAGTTGAATGGACTAATAGACTTAAGAAGTTAATGAAAGATACCTTGTGAATACACTTATAATAATATCATTGTTTTCTGGTCTTATTTCCATCCACTGATCGTGAAAACGTGAATACAAGGGTATGCATATGTCATACTTGCTATATTTTGATTTAGTCATTTTGAGGCTGTTTGTGAAACATCGCTGTCGGCAACCCTTGAATACACAAAAATTATTAGTCACTGAGGATAGGTGAAAGCTTCTATGAACGCCAGTGTAGATAAGGTAGAGTTGAACGGTAATGGTTTGATGGAGAACATTTGAAAAAGTTACTGATTGTTGTTACTTCATGGTACAGTTCATGTTAAACTTGTATAGTAATGTATAATTTTGGGAGAATAATATTCAGCAGTGCAGTTTACTTTTTCAAGATTTAAAAGAAACTCACCTATCAAAAAATACAAATTTATGTGGAGATCATAAAATTGGACCTATAGTCATGTCTATAGTAATTTTAATAGTAACTTTTTCATAAAAGGATGGACTTGGCGAACAATTCCAATTTATCGGCTTGAAAGTTGTCGGATGATGACGTATGTTGTTTTAGAAAATGAAAATAGCAGCCTATTTTAATATTTTCTCTACTCCACTTATCAGTGAAAATCGTTATTAATATTGAATAATAACTTAAACGATCTATTCATAAGGATCTATTTCTTGTTTACCTGTGGAAATCGTTACCTTTAAAAAAGCGTGATTTTCCTCCAAAGGACAGTACTGTTATATTCAGATTTGATTGTAGTAATTGGGCTAATTTCTCTTGTTTTGTGCTAATTCATATACTACAATTATACATTTATTTCAGTAGCGATTCTTTGTATTTTCTTTATGTTTAATACATCATCCCTTTGCGGCTTATATATTTCAGGCTGGTGATCGATCGTTAGCTAACGTAATCGCTCATGAGATCGCTCATTCATGGACTGGTAATTTAGTAACAAATTCAAATTGGGAGGATTTTTGGTTAAACGAAGGACATACTGTGTATTTGGAACGCTTAATTGAAGAACGTATTCATGGGTCGCATATGAGGCACCTTCATTTAAGTTTAGGCTACAAGGAACTGTTGGAAGAAGTAAGGTGTATTAATTTAACTAAACCCCATTAATTAAACGAGGGGATTTTTGAACCTTTATTTACCACTTCATTTTATGGAGCAAGTAGTATTACTTTGACGATCCGTAAAACGCTAAATTTTTTACCAACTTAAAATTACTGTTCGAATGTTTTTGTTTCCGTTGTCTCCCTTTATGTTCCACAGCCCACGAATTTCATTAATGCAATCAACAAAGCTATTTTTTTTGGATTTTTTTCTTTTGTTTGTTTAATGAAGTATTCTTTGGCAGATATCTTTACCGCCATCACTAGGTCATAAATTTTAGTGGAGGATAATGAGCAACCAGTCGTTATTACCAGCTAATACTTATGCAACACTTGGCAATCATTTTCATCTACTTGTATGGTGAGATTTGTAACCTTGGCTTTCCCCCTTGTGGTGGTAAATCGGTCGTGAATGTTTCTGTGGCTTAATTGAGCTGTACTGACTACAAACTTCTTTTCTTATGATCGCCATGTTAGCTAGACTTAATAAAAAACTTAAAACCAAAAGCAGTTAATGTGGTGTTCAAAATACTATTACACTTTTGGGTTTATATATAGTCAATTTTCACTGATAAGTTCAATCGTTTAGCATCTCTGAAGCGTTTTTCAAGCCGATTATAACCTAATGCGAATTTACCTTCTTCATCGTCGAAATGAATAATTGAAGGGCTGTTGTAAAGTTATTCCTCACCCTTTCCTCTCCTACGGATTTTCATCATCCGTAAAAAGCCTCGTCTAAAAGCCAAACTCTGCAAAATCACAATCTTTATAAATCCCATCTGCGAAAATTTCCTTCTGCTAGAGCTTTATGGAGTTTGATAGAACAATTCAGTAGTGCACATTCAGTTCGTTTTCTAGCCAGGTCAATAATTTTCAGTTTAGGTAACCGTAGTTTTAATTTCACACCAAACTTTATGCCACCAGAATATGTACCGTTATCCTTTTTCGGTCTGTGGTGTCTAATTTCTACCTGTGATGTGGGATTGGCCTATAAAACTGCCATACAGTCGGATTCTAGTATGTGGCTCATTCTGGCTAAGCAAAGCTGTAGTTCAATGGTTACAGTGCATAACTTTTAGCCACTAGGTCAGGGGTTTGAACCCCGCTGTACCGTCTTCCGTTTCGGTGACTAAACATTCTTAAAACCGAATATACAGACTTACTAAGATACATCAATATTATTAAATTGCTACGTTTCCCAATTTAAATGTAGCGCCTCACTCTCTATAGAAATGCGTTGTTGATTTTGAGTATGAACATCTGTAATTATATGGATAATCAAGATTTATTATTATTTTTCTGATGACCATAACAAATACGTAAGGCAATTATATTATTTTAACGCTTGTCTGTTACATTATCTCGTTATCATCACTTACAACTTTACCCCGATTTCTCCCCTTTTTGTGATTTTATTTTCAGCACAAATATGCTAACCAATCTTAACTATTATGTTAAATATGTTGGTTCCTCTTGTTTCTTAAATTGTTTCGAACTAAATTTGATTGATTATAGTATGTAGGAACACTTTTTATGATATTTTTGTTATAAATTTAGGCCGTATGCAGCTGATTAGAAGTCTTGAAATATATTGAATTCATCTTGTCCTGCAAATATTTTTCTCTCTTTATTTAACTTTATCAAAGGATTAGAATGTATGAGACAAATATGTTTCTTTGAGAAGATGCTCATTTTTAGACATACATTTACATGTGACATTCTATTCTCTACTTTACGAACTGATAATATGCACTTGGATAAACATAAAGTATCCAGAAGGTACAATTCTTTTAGACGAATCTACAGCAACATTCAATCTTTTGTACACCATGTACCCATTCAGAACTCCAATGCATTTCATACCTTCCAAATACAAATGCTATTTCTTGGTGTGTCCTTAACGTGTAATTTGGCTATTGAAAGTGAAATAGATGAGCGTGTTAATCATTTAAGATACTTCAAGAGGGCTAGAGTGAAGTTGGTGGATAGGTTTTTGATAAAATCTCACTGCAGATACTGATTGCTTGTCCTAAACTACTCGTCATAAAGTTCAAGGAGAATCTTTGAACATATGTGCATTAGTGCACTTCTGTCGATTTTGTGGTTATCAAGTGCACATGTGAAAGTAGGAAACAAATTTTCTATATACACTAACAACTTTTGATAGGTCTGTAGCCTAGTGGCTTTTACAACTTTTATTTATTGAACCACGAGTTTAAGCTAATATATCATTAAGTTAGATGATTATGATTAATACACAGATGTACACTAACTTATTGAGTTACACTGCATTTAGTAGTCAGATTAGGAAACACTAACAACTAAAATCTGACTTATTTGGTTCTTCAAAATTAACAGATCAAAAAACTTGGCCCATCGGATCCAATGACAAAGCTGATTGTAGACTTGGAAGGTATTGATCCAGACGAAGCTTATAGTCGAATTCCATATGAAAAAGGATCTCTTTTACTCTACTACTTAGAGACTTTATACGGAAAAGGTAAGCCAAATTTTTGTTACCCTTCGATGTTATCGTTACATTTTTAGGTTATTAAATTGTTTTTGCTGTGCACGCTCTTGTGCGATTTATGTTTACTGATACTCCCTTTTATTGATATCCACTCTTGATGGTTGTTCTAATGCATGCCCTCTCATTCAAGAGTACCCTAGGAATGTAACTTCTGTAAAAGTTTCTCTTTATTTTTTTGTTTTTACCTATTAGCGCCTTGTTCATAATTGCAAATTTTACTCTCATATTTCACTCATTGTAAGCTTTCCGCTTTCCAGAATTGAATCCTTTCTTTGTCGTTTCTATTTATTGCCTTCCAGATTATCGCGCAACATCTTTCTACTTTAAACAATAATCTATTGCTTTCCTCCCAGATATTCTGTTAATGTGATGTTGTCCTTCTACTAATAATTTAGTTATCTATTTGATATTATTATTAATATGATTTTGTATCTCTGGGAAATGATACCAGAAAAATAATATATTATTATTATTATTATTATTATTAATGGCTTTATTCAATATTATATTTTGGTACAATATAGAATTCTTCTCTGAAATGTCTTTAATTAATTCAGAGATCTTTATCCCCTTTTACAATGATGCAAACTTTGTCAATCAGATTCACTTTAATTGATTAGGTAATGACATTTTATATATTGAAGGAGACTTTATGTAATGAGCAACTTTTTATAGTACAAAATGTTAAAAAGCCATTCTTTGTGCAAACCTTATTTAGAATCTATGCTGAATTGGTTAAAAGCCTATGTGAAACAGTTTTCTGGAAAATCACTTAATTCAAATACTTGGTTGGAATTTTTAACAAGTCAACTAGGTTCCGATGTACTTAACCCGAAACATCAGTTGGATGCTTGGATGCATAGTCCAGGTTTACCTCCATGGATACCAAAGTAAGACAGTTTATAACTCATCTGTAAACGTTTTTTTTTACTATATTTTACATAAGTTTCCACCATAACTTCCTCGATCATATATTTATATATTTGCACACAACCCAAAGCAATAGTTTTTATTGTTCGTTGTCCACAAGTTTAAAGACTCAAGTTCCTATCAATTATTCACCGAGTTTACATCCACTGCACTTAAAGCCCTTTGTGAAGCGGTTATTATAATTAACCCGTATGTGATAGATATAACTTATTACCTATGTACTACACCAAGTGGAACTCTCTATCAGAGTTATATCTTTCGTTCTCACTTCTTCTGAACCTTTATCTTACTATAATGATTCTGTTCCGACTGCAATAAACGATCACTGTTAGTATAACGTAAACAATTAAGACACTAGCTGATAAATGCAGAGGGTTCTACAAATTTTGTTACTAGGTTTACTGAAAAATTTCTCCTGAATTCCATCCATGTAATAACTTTGTGAAGTATGATTCAAGATTATTAATGATCCAACGTTCTTCATATAGTCCATTTTCAAAATGCCTAAAGTTTTTCAAATAGTTTAAATTTCAGCATATGCAGTCAAGCTAACCAATTCGATCATCAGTAAAATAATCCCATGATGGAAGTGAGGAAACAGGACGAATTTGTCATTATAGATATAGATCAGGTTTTGCTAAGTGATTCCACCGTATAGAGAGGCCACAATCTGGTTGTACACTTTAGTAAATTATATGGAACCTGGTGTTAAACTGAGGGAGTTGCCCTTTGCTGTGGTGTAGTCTTCATTACTTACCAGATGAAAAGAATACTGTCATTTGTCGATTTAATAATTTATTTTATCATCCAAATCAGTACAGGTTTGCAACTGCGGAGAAATAATGCTTCTTAAATGTGGCCTATGTAACTGCCCTCACAAGAGCAGTTCAGGTGGTATTACACAATTGTGATAGATTCATCTCTGATCCCTTACTACTGTTTCTTTGTATCAGTAATGGTTTTGTTGATAATTTATCTGAACAGAAATCCAAAATTAGGTGTTTTTAATAGCATAACAGGAATAGTAGAGAGCTAGCTGACTGAAACACAAAAATTACGAGAAAAATAACTGCACATTTCAAATCAACTTATGATACACTTAAACACTCTAAAACGCATACATAATATGAGTAGTTAAATGTTCATAAATTGGATATACCTTTAAAACTTATTCACTTATATCTCACTGTTATCATTTAACAAAATAATAGTTGGCTAAACCGTTAGGAACATAACATCGTTTCCTAGTTTAGTGTGAAAAGCTTATTTGAATTCATAAGCAAAGTATGAAAAAATATGAATTAAAAAAGGATTTATTCTTATTTCAAAGTCATATTTTGTTTGTAAATATTCCGATCATAGAAATTACCGACTAGATATGTAATTAATTTATAAAATGAAAACTAATTCAGTTAAACAAAATGTCTAAACAATAAATACTTATTTTATGCTTAACAATGAAATTTGTATGCAGATACAGTTGTAAAAGGATATTTTCCTAGTTTTATATTAATCAATATCCGTTTAGTAAAAATGGAAATTGAGCTACCAGCTGGTACTGAATAAGCTCAAAAATTTTTAAATTCGTATAAATAATACGGTTAACATTTTTCAAAAGACCAGTAAACATGAGGATTTGAACATTTTTAGTAGAGTACATCCAAATATTGGATCTTCCTGCAAGAACAACAAAAGCGATATAGAATTTCCTGATTCTCTCTACTTAAAAAGATGTGAGAAACTACATTCTTCAGTGTAAAAGCTTCAGAAATAAGATGATCTAGAGCCGCCTGGATGAATTTATTTACTGTATTTACTATGAATCCCGTATAGAAATTTTAATAACTCTGAACTATTAATCAGTTACTACACTTGTCACTGATTACTGTAAGTATGTGCAGAATATCTAAGCTATCTCATGAGATTCCAATTTTTAAGTCTTTTAATCAACTAACTTGCATAACCCAGTCGGAGATTGAAATGATGATACAATGAAGAGACCCACTCACGTGCTTTACATACTGCTCCAACCAAATACCTTCACATTGTCATTTCTTACAGCCATATGGTAGGGGTTACTTCCCCCCTCTGCTTTGCACTAGCTTCTTAGTAATCTATGTAATTGTCATACTTGTTAATAGCTTGGTGAATATTCTTGATTGTGAGTTTCAGTGACACCGTTTACCTATGTGTATGGTTTGTTTCGATTTAATCTCTTGACGGGTATGTTTATGTTTGAATTATTTTGTTTGATATCATTTTGCTATTTTCACAATTCTCATCATGTTCTAATGTGACCTTTAATATGTATATGATACTGTTGCACGATCATTATAAATTTTCATCTTTCAACCATCAAGTTCTTACTGAACATATTGCAACGGATTGAAATATTTCGTTTAATTCTTGTAATTTACTGTCTCATAAGGTTCGATGCTGACGAGTTACTTTCAGAATGTGACAATATGCAAAAATTACTTACTTCATCTGATCTTTGTTCAAATGTTACTGAAATACAAAGTTTGACTCAACTATGGAATAAAATGTCACATGTACAACGTGAATTAACTTTACGCCACGTTGTCGACTCTGAACCAATAAATGTTAATAACTTATGCAAAATTGATGAATTATTACAGTTATCTAAACAGAAAAATGCTGAGATACGAGTACAGTAAGCAATTTTTTCAAATGTAACGATTATTGTTCGTTCCTGTTTTATTTTATAGTTTTCTCAAAATTTTGTTCTGTGTGTTTAGCCATAGGATAATCTACCGTACAACAAATTACTGGAATAAGTACTTTAATACTGTTATTTTTCCCACCTAATACATGGTTGGAAATGATTTTTCAGCTAAATTAATATATACCATAATTGTTCTTCATCAACGAAATAGTTATAAACGTGTAGAAACATGAATGCTACAATATACATAGTCTACTAAGTATTGGGCATTATGAAGAGAAAGCGTAACTTTATCGTCATTGATAACATAACAAAGCTTGGCTCTGCTTATATTTATCCTGATAACTCGTGAAATTATGTGAGCAAATAAATACAAACATATTTTGCTCTCTTTTGTTTATGTATAACAAAGTGTTTTATTGAATGGATAATTCGTATTCTGTGTTTTGCTGGTGATACTACTTAGCTATTCATTTCGAGTCAATTTCTTCCTCATTTGACAATTGGGAGTAAAATATGATTGCTAGGCGTGATGGAGGTTAAATAAATACCATAAGGTTCTTAATTTACAGTACACAGTCTCAGTAGCGTCTGTTTTTCTCGGTTTCTTGGAGGCCTGTGTTGTTTCATTAGTCAAATATCAATGGCTAGTCATATGGTTTTGTATTTAGTTTGCTCCTCAGAATAAAAATGCCACATCGTAACACTCGTGAGTTTAGGAATACTGCTCGTTAACTGGGCGCGAGTACTTTGTGATTGCTGTCTTCTAGGTTAATTATCATTGCAACCCTGATGTCAGTTAGCTTTTATAGTGTTTTATTGATAGATTTGTTAGTCTTATTCACCTAATTTTTCAGAGGATATTTCAAGCACTTAGATATTAATGTTTGAGTTCATGAGTCGATTTAAGGTAGACCACCACTGAAAACCTGGAAGCAGTTAAATATTAGTTAGTTGATATTTCAATGAATACGGTATCGATTATTTTGTGTTTGGTAAGTAAAATTTAAAGACAATTTGTTGAGAATGAGGCGAAATTAAAAAAGGTTTTGGGTCAAGAGTTTGTAACAATTAATCAGTTGTTGAGTTATCCATTCCCTTTTTTCATAGTTGCAAATACATAGTAGTTATATTCTGAATGGACAATAAGTAAAGTAATTATGGGGATATATTTTAAATGGAGACGATATTTTCCAATAAAGTTGATCAAACCGTTCTCGTTTTCCCACTAGGTTATTCACAAGTCATAGAAGGATGAATAACTTTTTCTTAATTTCTAAGAATAGTTTGTAATGTAGAAAATTTAAGAAACGTAAGGTAAATTATTTAATATTTTTCCGCTCCTCCAATAGCATTCTTCATTTCTTGATTGACTCTCACTGTTGGTCTAAATAATTCTTTAAAAGTATTTAGTGTAAATAACTCTGTGATAAAGAAAATATTCTTCTTTATAACATTTTTATTGCTTTTCTGGAATGTATCATCATCCCATTATTAAATTACCTTTTTATTAATTAATCTCTTTGACGAGGGTCTTACTGTTTTCTTGTTCTTAGGTGGTGTCTAATCTGCATTGTTTCCCGTCATTTACCTGCATTGGGACACATTTTTGAATTTTTAAACAGTCAGGGTCGTATGAAGTACACTCGCACCATATATCGGTAATTTGGGTATATTTTGTATAATTTTCTTAACTAATAATTCACTTAATGTTATTTCTTAATAAATTTCCCAAAAATGTTTTTGTATTCCACCTAAAGTGATTAAGAATATCCTAAGACATATAACCGCAGTTCTAGTTAAAAGGTTATTTAAAACTGAAGATAGACAGCTGGTTTATCATGTTCACAATCTTTGTGGGGAATTAGGCCCTAAAAAATACAAGGTTCGCCTTGTTTCTTTAGTTTTGTAAACATGTTCTGTAAACTTTCGGAATCTGTTTATATCGGGTTATTTGGGGATTTCACAACTAATAATAAAACGTCGGTTTTCTAAATTAAGGTGCTTAATATTGCGCATATCTATCGATATTCTACACAACATATATATGTGAGAACACAGAACAAATATGCACTTGGTTATTGAACTTCAACTACAATTAAATAAATCACTAAGGTGTTTTTGACGTTCATGTGATTTAAAAATTCATTTACTATCCGCAATTCATAGTTGGAATTAAATTTAGAATCTATCGATTCTAGGAGTATGTATCTAATATATTTTTTTCAGAATCCAAGTGAAATCGACTTTCGGTCCTTTGTTCTTTGTTAAAGTCTAAACGTCACTATATATATCTGGGTATTTAAACAAATTAAGACATAATTGTTTAAAAAGTTGACTTCATCTCATTATATCTACAGTTAAGGAATACACTAACTGTTGGTATGAATCGTATAGAAAAGTACAAACTTTGTCTATTCTGCTCTCAAGATAATAAGAATGTTATCGAAGATTATAAGTAGTATCTTAGACTGTACTACAGTGATGCTGATATAGTCACTCTTTAATAATCTTCATGTTGTGTTAACTGATATCATTTTGGTTTTTTTAAACATCTTTCCTTCATTGTTCATTTCGTGGTTTTGTGATCTTGTGAACTGTGAAAACTTGAACCTATGTCTTTTTGTTGCTCTCAGGTTTAGCATTAGTCTTAGTTTTATACTAGTATAAATGGTCTTTTCTTCTTTAATTTCACACACTTCTCATGTAATTTTTACTTAGCGCTTTAAGCGAATGGCCAGAAGCTAAAGAGCGAACAATAAACAATTTCTATGAACAACGTCCATTTATGCATCAAACAACTGCAATGCTGGTTGAAAGGGATTTAAATCTTCATGAAAATGGGGAACCTATATCTACTGCTTAAATTCAGATAAATTTACAGATAACATGTATAAACTTTGATGTGCATTATAATTGGTACTGTCGTTGTGTACCGACTCAATATACCATTTCTATGTTATGGTAATAAATTATTTCGTTTGGGTTTATTTTTCATAAAATATAAAATTCTGTTTTTCCATCCGAATTAAGTAATAAGTACATAAAATAAATTTGTTGTTCTTGTTTTGTTTTTTAAACCGATAAAATCATTTTCAGTTTGTAAGGTACAAGAAGCTGGGTGGTGTGCACAAATTTAATAGTCAGTAGGCTAAGTGCCTGTCTGTCCACGCACGCTCAATGAACAATCGCATGCTGCTTTCACTACCACATATCAAAAAAGGAAATTATATTTTCAGTATGGAGATTTCTGATCACAATTATATTTGTCTAAGAGAGGTTGTAAGTACGTTAGTCAAATTATGACTACTAATGATTAATTGGCCTCGAGTTTGGCCAGGAGGGGGAGAATCGGTTGAAGATATTTCTTTTGTACACAGCTTCAGTTTCGTAATCTGGATAGCTACTGCTTCCGTCATTTGAAAAAGTCTGACAGGCTTTGGCAAAAAATGACTCACCCAATAAGTAATTGAAAAAGATTGGCTTGTGCTGGCACTATAACCAGTTTGGTCTAAATGGGCCAATATCGAACCGCTCCCTTTCTTCACTAGACCTTTGTTTAGTCATACTGGGAGGTGTTCGCGAGCACGAAAATGTAAATTCCTAGAACTCCAACCAATATAACTTGCTCCACAAGAGCAGTCGAACTGATAATTACAAAAATGAAGTGGTCATTCTAGGTAATTCGTCTTTTTAGCCTCGGTGTCGCCATTGGGCGTGTATAAAACACTGGTCCTATTTCTCCGGCGGTGAATGACTTTCAAGTTGTTCTGCGTAATCTGTGGACTAATGTTTCGCTAGCTGCATCCCCTCTGAATTTTAGGCCCGTGGAAAAGGATTTCTTATTCGCTATTTGTATTTCGCCTATTCGAACCTTCGCGATCATATATTTATTCATAAATTTTCTGGGGTTATATATCAGTTATCCCTAAGTGTATTAAGCAAGGCGTTTAGCTCTTTCTCAACTATATCAGGTTTCTCTGTACTGTTCAGGTATTTTTTTCTGTTCAAATTCTTTCTTATAAATCCACCAGTTCTCTTGGCTAAGAGAACATTCAAAAAGGTTATTCTACCATCGCTTTCTTCCCCACATGTAAACTTAATGGCTGTTTTTACTTCATTAGATTGCCTAATAACCTCTAGTTGTGATGTACTACGTTTACAGAGGATGAACGTGCCATCCATATATCGACAGTAAAATATGAATTTCTAAGTGGACCATTTCCTAGTTTGGCTAGAGAAATGTTAGCTAGTGTGGGACCCAATGGTGAACTCATTTCAACTCCCTACATTCGTCTATAGGTTTCTCCGTTAAACTCGAAATTCAAATTCATGGTGTATTTCAGTAATAACTTTTACAACATTAATCGGAGTTTCAGTTTCGGTCTCATTTTCTCCAAGTTGTTCACATACATATTATATAGTCTCCATTACTGGAACGTTTGTGAATAATGGTGTTACATCCAAAGACATCGTCGACTGCTCCATAGCATTTGAGTTTTTGATTTTGTCAACAAATTTAAATACACCCGTAACACTATTTTACAAGTTCGTCACTGAAAGGTTTCAATATATTTATCAACCACTTAGCTATAGTATGTTATGGAAAGTTATATATATCTAAAATTGGTCTCAATGGGATATCCGGCTTGTGTACCTTCGGTAATCCATACAACCTTGGCAGATGAGTTCCCACTGGTTTAATCATTTCGTATAAGTCTGATGAGATTATCTGTTTGCTCCTGAGTTTCTGACAAGATCTCATTAGTTCATTCTCTATCTATCATCGAGATATTTCTGGTCGGTTAGTTTTTGAAATTTTAATTTTTCATCTAAGATGGTACCCATTTTATCAAGATGAACCGCTGAACCTTTGCCAGGCTTCGTAATCGTTAACGTTTCATTCTTTAGGAGCATGTTAATAGCCTTCTTGTTCTTTATGCGAGGATGATTTTGCAATTGAATTTGTTGTTCTTATACTAGTAACAACAGTTTACAATATTTGATTCCGAATGTTCTAGTTGTTGGTCAGAATTTGCAACTAAATGCCGTGTCTGAATTTATGGGTTTTCGAACTGTGTATCTGTATCTATGTGGTGAGAGCGATTACGGGTATCACAGAATTTCAGACCTAAGGATAATACGTCAAGTTTAACACTTGAGGAATTGTGGAGACATCTTCTGAAATCAGCCGGAAATTTGTTTTCAACTGTTCGATATCCCAGACCTTTCAATAGATGGAAACGTTTCTTCACTGCTCTCTGTTCTGTAGCGTTCGTAACACAGTCCATAGTGGGTATCCTCAAATCATGCATTAGGTCTTCTACAAAGTATTTTCTGCGAAAAACATTCATCTACACCTCTTTAATATCAGAATGCAAGGCGTCAATCTGGTTCAGGGTGTGGCGTTTCAGTGTCTTTCTATTAGGATGGACTCCGTCGGTCGTAATGAGTAGCGACCTGATTTGATGCAGCTGTTGATAAATTCCATGGCAGTTTTCGTTTCAGTTGAATTTACGTTACAGTTCAGGAACTCTGAGCGTCTTCAACTCAATGGGTTGTTCATTGTGAAAAAATCCACATCATATTAAACGACATAAACAAATTACTAAGTTTGAACTCACCAGTTAAGATTTTTTTAAAATTCAAATTTATCATATAATAGCACTGGCAATTATCCTACGTAACAAATGAGTTAGTATGGTTTCTCATGCACACTTTATCAGTTACTGGACGTTTAGCAGAGCATTTGCTTACGGGTCATATTAGAACACTGACTGGACTCAACGTTCTTTACCTTTTACTAAATAATCAATAATGATTGCCATTAACTCAATCCTGATAAATATTATCCAGTCATGGCTAGTAGTTTTAAAACAGTTACACAAATGATGATAAACTGTAGGCTTACCACACCGAACCCCTTGACCTAATATAATGGTCGGTGCTTCATATTATATAATCAGCTTAATCATTACACATAACTGCGATTATTCTAGACAGGTTTTTATTACAAATCATGTTAATTATATTGTGATCCTAAAGGAACTACAAAAAGTATTCGTTTCACTAATTTTGCTTTATCAATGCTTTTTTAAATCTTTTGAAAATACATTGCTTTAAAATCATGTAAGCAAACGTGTAGCAGCCTCATGTTTGTGAGTAGGCAAACACAATGAATGAGGTATTTTCGAACATTTAAAATCTTGTTTTAGCTTTATTACAGATGATACAATCAAATGGAATAAGTTAAGCAAAGTCACTCACATCCGAAATTGTCACAATGTTAATTGAAAGCGACAATGTTGAAAACACAAATACAATTGTTTTGATGGAGATCATGAACCGATTGATGTTATATCACCATTGAAAACCTGGGAGAACTGGATGACCGTTTCGTCCTATTGCGGGACTCATACACGATCTCGCCCGTGGGATTCGAACTAAGGGCCTTCAGTCTGAGCCGACAGGCATCCAACGGTGTTAATGTCTAACCTCAAACAAAACACGAAATTGCACGACCATCTTCCATTGCGTTGAGGTAGATACCTGTCTCTATAAAACAGGAGGGATCGTGGATGCACGCCGCCGAGGAGTCACACGATGGGACGAAACGGCCGTTCAGTGCTTCCAAGTTTTCATTGGTGGTCTAACATCAATCGGTTCATGATCTCAATCGAAATTGTAATAATTTCCACAACCCTATACTGATAATTGTTTTGCTTCTAAAATAAACTACAAATAATATAAACCTCCATTGATCATCAATCTGATTATTGTTTCGCACGGAAAATTTGTTACTCATCAATAGTTGATTCTCATTAAAAATCATACCAGGTTTATATTTTCACACCGTCTTTTTAAAATAGCCGGTTGGGAAAATATTGTCTATTATGTACAGTATTCCACATAACTTTTACGAAAGTCATCAATGAGTTGGTCTTGGTGATTACGAGTGCACAAAAAGAACCAAAATCTCTGTTAAACAGATCATGTTTATGTCTCATTCGGTGACTATCGTGTTAGCGAAATTTCCTATTCTAGAAAAAATATAAATCAATGTATTCTCTGCGTTTAGCCCTGAACATGTCAGGAAATCTTAAATTCACGACTTGTGAAGACTGCATTTTGTACTCTGATATTCTGTATAGTATCGGACATAAAATTTCGTTTAAAACGTCGAATGAAAGAGATGAATTTCAGTTTGTGTTACGTGTTCACATTTATGCACTGCTGGATTTCTTACAAAAATGTGAGGAAGTGTTCTTTTTTGAGATGAAATAATTTAGTTTCCTAAGCATTTCACCCTCATCATTAGTTTTTGGTCACTCACTGTTAACTACTTGTAAGTAGTTAAATTTTATTCGATAATATTTTCAAGGGTGTTTCGACTACCATCTGGGAAAACATTGAACATTTTCTCATAGTCCAAGGTTTTAAGAAATTGACGTAACAATGAATTGCAAAGTTCATAGCTTATAAAATTTCTCAGCCATATGGTTTAATAAAAGTGTTTATTAACAGTTTTCTACGCAAAATACTTCGAATCCATTGGCCAGACACTATCAGCAACAACCTACTGTGGGAAAGAACAAACTAGATTCCAGCGGAGGAACAAATCAGGAAGAAGCGCTGGGAGTGGATAGAATACACATTGAGGAAAGCACCCAGCTGCATCACAAGGCAAGCCCTCACATGGAATCCTCAAGGTCAAAGGATAAGAGGAAGACCCAAGGAACACATTACGCCGAGAAATGGAGAGATAAATGAGGATAATGTACAACAATTGAATAGGACTACAAAGAAAGGCCAAAGACAGAGTGAATTGAGGAGTGCAGGTCTGCGGTTTGTGCTCAATTGGGAGTAATAAGCGTAACTGAATAAGTAAATAAATAAATAGTTTGGTCGTGAAGTTTTCGTTGTCTTTTGAGATGATATCATCAAGGATTGCATTGATTATTAGATATTTGATTTCACGATCTAGCATTGGATGGTCCAGGAACTATGTTGTTCATTGTCCAAAAACCTAAAGATTTGCTGGAATTCGTACATATAGAATTTTAATA